GTACTGTATGATGAAATATTTAGCTTTCATAAATTCACAACTGTGAAAAAAATATCCACAGTAATGTAATGTTTTAAGACTTTTTTCTCAGTTTTGTCGGACAAAAATAACACTTCGCGTTTTGCACCTCTTAAACGCTTCGCCGTGAGCTACTCAACATTGTAAATTGAACACGTGCAAAAGGCTCGCTGCAAGATTTTCTTCTAATTTCCTATCCGTTATTCGCGTTCCTCGCGGTACTGAGAAGTGCAAGTGCCGTGACTCGGTCTTACAGCTTGTTTAACTACGATCCATCATCGAGATAACAAGGCTACTGGGAATTCATCCCAAGTAATCTCTCACTCGAAAGGCTGATAACATTCTACACACAGGCGAGAGGGAGATTTCTCCTCATCAGTACGCGCGCGGTTGCGACGTCAAAAAATCGCAGTCTCCGATGTGCTTCCGGATACCCGGCGGCTTTCCACTCTAGGGCCAACGTAATAGTCCGTATAATGGCGCCCGGAATACGGCGGGTGCGAGCCGAGGAAGCGAATCGACTCGAAGACGCCCCGGGCGCCTCGGCGCAGCCGTGCGAGGTGAGAGACCACAGGCTGTTTGTACCGCTTAAGCTAATGAGGTACAGATGGTGATATTCCTGCGCGCCTTAAGGTGGACCGAAGGGCGCGACGAGCAGAAACGCAGGATAATACACGCACGCACGCGCGCGCACACAAAAACACAGACACAATCGAATCCGGCGCAAGGTGGCTAGGAAGGCGGGCGGGCGCGAGCGAAAGGGGTTGCCCTCGTTTGATCTGATCCTTATCTCGGCCAGCCGGTCGGTCCTGGCTACCGCCGCGCGATCGCTATCTCGCCGATATGCACCCTCCTTTTAACCCGGTGTTACGGCGAAACCTGCGGTGGTTCAGTGCACACGCTCGCCTTTTCGGGCCGGGCGCAGATGCGCCGTGGCGCACTGCTTGCATACCGGCGCGTATACGTCGATCCTCGCGCGATAATACGACGCCCCTAACTGATGTCCGGCCATTTCGCGGTGTGTGTGTGTGTCTTGTTTTACGACGCGATAAGCGAGCGCCAAGATTTGCCGCACGTTAATAACGGCGAGGGAAGGCTTTCAAAACAGTCGTGTTCCACGCTTCTCGCTATCTATTTGAAATATCTTGAAATACTTTTCACACAAAAGTAAAAATGGAATTTTAGAAAGTAAAATAAACTTATTAATTATTGCTTGCCGCGTTAATTTATGACAAATACACAGTTTTACTTTTCAGTCTAATTTCTCTTCCATTTTCCATATGTGTTTTCGATCTCATCTGCGAATAAAATGTTCGCGTCGCAAGCAAAAAATGTGCGCGCGTTAAAAGGCGCGGGAATACACGTAGAATAAATCAAAGAGACGGCTGAAATCAGCGCGAAACGAGAGCAGGCTGCAGCGGACAGCCGCGATTTCACACCGCGGCCGTGATCCGTGATTTCACGGCAGCTGCTTGCGCGGCAGGAAGTGAGACATCATACGTGCGCGCTGGCACTAACTTTCTTGCATAATGTGAAATCGGGGACGGGACGCGTCGGCCGCTCGTCTTTAAGACCGACAATCGCCGATGGAGAACAATGAAACGATGGATCGTTCTTCGGCAGCCGGCTCGGATGGGGCGCGCGCACTGGTCAAACTGACTCTTTCATTAAGAAGACAAAACTATCATTTGCGAAGAGTGAAATATCTTTACACGGATAGAATGTATGATCAATTAATAGAAGACACATTTTTGTGATAAAAAAATTAATATTAATGGCAAAAACGATTAGATTTTTTAATAATTTTTGTTACTTACATATTTATCAGAATCGCGGACCAGAACAAAATGGTATACATGTTATTGAACAGTTTTGGTCAGAATAATCTTGGATTTTTCATTAATTAACCATAATAATGGATTGCGTGGCGTGTACATACGTCACAGCCACGTCGCAAGTATAAGTCAAAGGCGATAATAGCCTCGGTTGTTGTTTGCACTCCGTGAAAGGGGAAAGGGCTTCCGCTTAGGGGCGGAATAAGTGCATCCTTAATTACCTTCGGACCGATAAAAGGATAATAGAACGCATCTTCCCTCTATTTCCGCTCGCCCGGTTACCACGCTCTCGTCTCTACGATCCCAATTTTTTAATAGTCGTCATTACGGGCTTTCGCGGTATGGACGAGCGCCGGGGATGTAATCCGTGGGCATCAAACTGGAACGTTCCGGGTTCGGTATAATGTAGACAGGATGCTAATTTGATTATTAGTCGGATTGCGGCAGTTACGAATCGCAGAATTGCTAAATTGCGGTAATCACTATTTTCCGCGCGCTTTCTTATCGCGGGAAACACGGCGCGCTATAATTATGGCCGTTTATCTATAAGAACAATACGTCCCGTACGACGGGAAAATGAAACGGTACCGCAAGCGCCGATGAAATTAATTCTTTTTACTCGCCCGTTCAACGCGGGCGCGACCGGAAACCGTGTTGTGTTGGGAAATCATTTTCCCTCGCGCTCAAAATAAAAAGATGACAATATTTGAACTTTTCTATATTCTAACTTTCTAACGAAAGAATTAGTTTGACGACTTTGTGCGTCAGTCGAGTCGGCTGTTAAAGAACGATTGATCGTTTCATTGTTCTTTCATCGATGCAAGCTCTAAAAGCTATCGAAACATGTGTGAATTGGTGATTAATGAGAAATCAG